GTATTTGATCCCTGCTGCCATGTTCCGTGATCCATTCCGTAAAGACCCCAACAAGCTGGTCCTGTGTGAAGTGCTGAAGTACAACCACAAACCTGCAGGTATCAACAGATCAGTCTGCACGGTTTAAGTCAAAATGAATAGAACCAGGCAACAAAATGGTAAATGTTCCAACAGTTTCAAACTCTGCTACACTCTACAAAGTAAACCAATAACTGTCAGCTTCACTAAACTGCAGCTGTAGTAACATGAAGCAGTGCCTTGGTTTGATAGTGCAAGGTGGGTGGGACATTGCAGTATAACCAGAATAGTGAAGACCTGTGTTTGGATCTAGAAGTGTCATGCTTGGAAACATGAAGATGGATTTTAGCAAAAATGTAGTTGCTGTCATTTTAATGTAATACAGTGGGCAAAACAAGCATGTAATCTGACCTGAAATGGGCCAAATTTATTCTTTTAAACATATAGCCATAAACAGATGCACACACTCCCATTCAGCACACTGAAAACATTAAAAGGCAGAGGCTTGTATGCATAGAAGTGAAAGCTGCCTTTAGTCGAGCAAAATTATGGCAAAGATGAGCAGATGAAGCACAAGACACCAATGTAACAAGAGAATTACTTACAGTATCACTGCTCCATTATTTGTCTTGAGGGGACATCTCTCATTTGCAATAGCTCTGAGACCTTAAAGCAAATCTATAACTGCAGCCAAACTTCCATAATGGAGATGAAAAGTGATTTGCAAAACTGGGACAGGTGACTTGAGTTGTTAGTTTTTAACATGAAAGTTTCATTCTGCAGAAACCAACCTTCGAATTACATGTAGGAAGGTGATGGAGATGGTGGAGGACCACCACCCCTGGTTTGGTATGGAGCAGGAGTACACCATTCTGGGCACAGATGGACACCCATTTGGCTGGCCGTCTAATGGTTTCCCTGGACCACAGGGTAAGCATCTGGTTTAGAGTTTAGTTGTAGTATAAATGTTTCCTGCATCGAGATGAAACAAAGTTTAATGATTTGACACTTTTGCATGTTTTCAGGTCCATACTACTGTGGTGTGGGAGCTGACAAAGCCTATGGCAGAGATATAGTGGAGGCCCATTACAGAGCTTGCCTGTACGCTGGAGTCCAGATCGGTGGCACAAATGCAGAAGTGATGCCTGCTCAGGTAATAATCAGAGCCTAATCCCTGTTTAGTTTGCACCTGTTATGGTTTTAGCAGCCAGTTAATGTGTGTAACTTACAAAGAACTCCTGTGTGTTCAGTGGGAGTTCCAGATTGGACCTTGTGAAGGGATCAACATGGGCGATCATCTCTGGGTGGCTCGCTTCATCCTGCATCGTGTCTGTGAAGACTTCGGCGTTGTTGCCACGTTTGACCCCAAACCAATCCCTGGTAACTGGAATGGTGCTGGCTGCCATACTAACTTCAGCACAAAAGGGATGAGGGAAGAAGGTGGATTAAAGTGAGTGTCAGAAACTTTGAGGTGGGCAGCTCAGTAAATGTGCAGCATTGCATGAATGCATTTCTGATGGGGAATCTTTTCTGTTGGCAGAATCATTGAAGACTGCATTGAGAAGCTTGGCAAGAGGCACCACTATCACATTCGTGCCTATGACCCCAAAGGGGGGCTTGACAATGCTCGACGTCTCACCGGCCGCCATGAAACATCAAACATCAACGAATTCTCTGCAGGTGTGGCCAACCGTGGAGCCAGCATCCGCATTCCTCGTACCGTTGGCCAGGAGAAGAGAGGCTACTTTGAGGACCGTCGTCCATCAGCAAACTGTGACCCATATGGTGTGACCGAAGCCCTCATCCGTACCTGTCTGCTTAACGAGGAAGGAGACGAACCTACTGATTACTAAATTCACAACTCGACTGCCCTCTTGACTTTCTTTAAACTAGTACTGTATTTTTTTTCTTTTCCTCCCACTGACACTATTTTAACCTACATTTTAATGGCTCAAAGTTGGCTGGTCAACTTAAACATGACAAGGTAATGAAAATCCTTGGTAGTTTTGAACTGGTAATAACAGGGTATGTCTTTCCCGTCTTCTTGAGAGGGGATTGGCTTTTGTAACACTGTTTTATAGCCCATGTCATATCCGTCCCTTTTTGTCTGTAACTAAAAAGAACTAAAGCACATGGACACTGAAGAGTAGAGCTGCTAAGCCTGGACAGCATGTGTAATGTAAAAAAAATCTGACAGGTTTGTGTACTGTTAATGTTGACCTGCCTCTTCAACTATCTAGTATGTGGTGTGCTACTAATTCTTTAATTTTTATAAAGTCACTTTTTTATTAAATGGCACCATTTATCGTCAGATTTCGACACACCGGGTCACCTTGTGTGGTACATGTTGTAAATGTCTGTACCCAGGCACATGTTCAACTGTGGTGGACTTGGCCATAATGCCATTTGTAGATTTCCTTAAGGAGTTTTATCCTTTTGTTAACTACAATATTGTAATGCACCTGATTTGGTAAAACATCATGTTTACTGAATTTAGTGTTTTTATTGATACATTTAAAACTTATTTTTATCACACCATGGCTGTATGACTCTTGACTTAAAGGCTATACTAATTTGACATCTGGGGAAAAGTGCGTATTTGCCCTGTTACAGAGAGTTGGATGTTAGTTACACTTTTATTTTTCCAGCTGCAGTGTGAAAGCCTCAGCTTGCAATATGGTTAGGTTGGTGTAAACTGGATGGTGGTGAAACTTAAGATTGATTCCCTGAAACTTAAATGTTTCACCTCAGTTAATAATCGAGCAGACACTCCTTAAACCTTGAGTTTATTTTACAACTTTTGAATATCATTATTTTGTGAAGGAACAGTTGGCATGTGTCTTCAAAGCTGCTGACGCACCATCTTACTGTAAGCAATATACCTTTAAAAATGTGCACTTAAAGATAACACCGGTAAAGGCTCTCTGGCTGGTTTGTTTTGTTTTGTTTTTTTTTCATTATTCTTGGCCTGATGATCTGGTCTGGATTGATATCTTGGAAGGAGCTCAAGAACAGCTTTGTTTATTTTAGGAACCTGTGGGGAATTAAGTGGCAACTGGTGTACGCATGAGTCTGTTAGACTTTTTCATTATAACAGCTTGGATTTTTATTTAACTTAAACTGTCAAACTTATTTCTGAGTATAGCTGAAAGTTGAATGGGCCACTTTTTTTTACCAAAAGGATTTTGATTCAGTTTCTCAGACATTTGACACTTATGATCCAATACAGACAGAATAACTTTAAAATGTTAGTGTAAGGATTTCTTGAATAACTTGGTGCATTTGTGCATACAATGATTGTGACTGAACTTTGCCGTCTCCACAGTCATTCAGCTGTATTAATGTCAAAGCTGCTTTTAGGAGAGAGTTTGGAGTCAGAACTTTACAGACACGACAGAGTCAAGTAAACCCATTTCCCTACTGACAACAGGGATACATTTCAACCACACTTAACAAGAAGCACACAACCTCACTTCACAGGACATAAGCATTGACTTGTAGTGCCTTCTTGCTTTAGGGGGGGAAGGGCAAAACGTTTGTTTTGTCCTTTCCCCTAGATCCTGACTGCCCTAACAACAGATGTGAGTCAGCTCACTGATTTGCTTTGAAAGGAGCAGGTTAACCAATCAAAGTCAAGAGCAGGTTCAGTTCTGTTTCAGAGGATGTTGCTGGGCCTGAAGCCAATGCACATACTGTGACTTTGGTTTGGTCTGTTATTTTCCGGAATCTGAAACCCCTTCGCCTTTAAAGCATTTTGCGTTTGCCTTGGCCAGTTTCTGAGATTCCGGGCCTTGAGTTTGTCAGACAAGAGGCTACATTTGGAAACAACAGCTTAAAAAGTGTTGTGAAAAATCTATGCTTTAAAACTTTATACTGAATATATGTCATTCAGAATAGTGCTTTACAGTGGGGTTCCTCTAGGGCAAAAACATTCTCATTTATATTTCAGTTTCTGCCTACATTCATATATAAGTTGCAGTGTAATTCAGCCAGGAAATAGTGGAGACATATTACAATTACAGGGGAATGAAACTGGTCCACATATTGCGTTACAGACCATTATTGTCAGTAAACTTCCTTCATTCCCAGAGACAGGCTGGTACATTTTATTTTTCCCAGCACACCCACTAATTGCACCTGTGCCAGTGTTTTTTTAATACCTTTGTGCACACAAACAAGCAAAACATTAGGAAAGGTAACTTGTTAATCTAAGTGCATTACATGTCATTCAGCTCCAGTCCTTTGCTCTAAGTGTGTTTCTGTTTGTATATTTGATACAAAACTGTATGGATCAGTCAGCTCTTGTTTACTTCCTCTGATTTTTCAATTCAGTCATGGCAGGATATCAGGAGTTTACCACCTTGCTACCATCAGTGAAAGCCACTTAATGACATTGTCACCATCTAAAATCTCTTCCACTTCCTCACTTTGAGGGGGTTCGACTTGCATGCAGAATCCAAAAAACCTTCTGCCTGGGAAGCTCAAATGATGGGGAGATATTGGACAAAGGATGGAAAGGGATGCTGCCCTGTTGCTATGACAACCACCACAATGTACCTGCTGGATGGTGGTGGTTCTTGTGCAAAGCAGGAGGGAAAAAAAACGTATCCATGTTATGTAAGGAGGAAAAAAACCATGAAATGGGGTCTCTTAAATGGAGCTGCATAATAGACCCCTGGCCAAACACAGCTTTGAGTGCTAGTCACTTAGCATGCCCTCACACTATGCAAATGTCCTCTAACTTTTTTAATGTTTACATATTATGCAAACTGAGTTAGATTTTTACAATTTAATGTAAAATAGTGCATAAAGGAGCATGGAAAACAGCACACGCGCTGGGCATCAAGCATATGCATGGTACAACTGTCATCGGTTGTGTTGTGTTGTTGTGTAACACCTTATACCAGGTCAAACCAGCACTGGATCTTCTTTCTACAATGTGCAAAAGAAGATGTCTGCGCTAAAAAGATTACTTAGGAGAAATGAGAGGACTGAAGCTTGTTTTGTGCAAAATACAGCACAAGAATTCTGCAAGAGATGGAGAAGAATGTCAGTGGAGAACAGAACTGTCTCACGTTTCATTTCTTGGCAAGAGCGTGTGTAATCCTTTTTATGGGAAAAAGTATAATAGACAATAGAACAAGAGATGCAAAAGAATGAATTCCAGCATTTTTTTATAACAGCAATGACAAAAAAATGTAGCAGTTTGTGTGAAGTCTTGTTTTCCTGCAGATCCCTGTCTCACACATGCACACAAAATTCACACTCACGTGTGCTTATACGCAAGGAAAAACTAATCACAAATGCTCATGTTTACTACTGGAAACACACATTGTTAACACATTCCTGTCCGCAGCAGAGGAGAATAACAAGCTGCTGCATGTTTACATCCAAGACAGACCGATGTTGTGCAAAGCATCCTGATTTGCTGAGTGCTCTGGTGTGATTGGGCTGATGCTAGGTCCTCTTTAGTCACTCAGGCTTACCTGCGCTGTGATTGGACATCATTCAGTATGACACAGTGATACAGTTTTAAATGAACAGTACTGCTGCAGAGTTACAGCAGAAGATGGTACAGATCGTTCTGCAGCGAAGTGGGGTAAATAAAGGGTTTGATAAGGGGTTTGATAGGAAACAATGATCCAGTGTGTGAAATGTATTTACAGCCTTATTTTGCCAGTAACAACACAATTAAAGTGGAATAAATCACAGAGGTCTGTTCAGCTATTTCTAAACCACAGTAATATCCACATTTATGACATTAAAGTGGTGCCTGCATGCTCTTCCACACTCATATTCATCAAACCGGACTGCTAAACAAATTGTGCATTTAAATTCTTTGCAATTGAGTGAACATTTCTTTTGCAAAAGCTTCCTTTAAAAGCATTGCTGGATGCAAAGTCAGCTTTGTCGTTTACAAAGTGTTGCGGTCACAAAACGTCCTGCTCAGTTTCACTAAAGTTCACACAGTCCACACACGAGTTGAATGGCTGCCAGATGCCTGTATCCTTCTGACTCTAAATTCACAAGAAGTGCGCTCCTCCCCCTGAGAACCTCATGCTGATTTATCAGCGGGGGTTGTCCTTTCCTTAGCACACAAAACAGTGGATGACTGGCACACACACAAGTCCACTTTGTAGTTTTCCATATCATACTAATGTATAAAGACATGCAAAAACACCTGTTTTCTAAACAAATAATAGATAGATAGATAGATAGATAGATAGATACGATGGGGACAAAGGCACATTTTGTCCTATAAAACTTCATCACATTGTTAGGTATTTTTAGTCAGATAGATATTGGATAGATACTTTATGTATTAGAAATGTTTAGTGGAGATAGGATGTATAGTTAGACTGTTAAATGCTTAGGCATGCTTATGAGTTTCTACAGGGTACATCTGGTCAAGGATACTAGAGAGAAGAGGTGATGACTGTCAGCAGACAGGATGTTTAATATTATTATTACGACGTGTATAACTGTAGCCTTAGCCATATGTTCTTATGTCTAAGTCACGACATGTACTAGAGGTCGTGAGAATGTTTTTAGTTACACACCACTAAACCAACAGACACACACATTCACACGTTGATTTGCTTCATGTTTTGACTACTGCTATGACCAGCTGCAAAGCTGGTAAGAGAGACGTCTTGGTTGACGTTTCTGTGTAGTATGGGGCTAGCCCAACCGAGGGGATATAATGTATAGGCCTGGTGGGCTCAGGGTCTTTCATCTTACATCTGCCTACGAGCAGTTTGGAGGTGCAAGATACCTGAGCGTGTAATGTTAATTTTACCTGGGATCCCTTGAATAAATCAGCACTGTTTTGAAGTTACTTGAACTGTCTCGTCTCTCAGAGTTAGCATGGTAAGACGGACCTATCCTACAACATCATCTTTAAAAACTGAGACAATCTAAAACTTATTGCTTTGCGAGGGGGCACTCAGCCACTGTTGAAGCATAAAACAACAATCAGCAGAAAGTGGGAATAACTGTCAACAAAAATAGGAGAATGAGAATATTCAGTGCAGCCTGTGTGAGACAATCCTCAAACAATAAACAGAACAGACAATAAACAGAATTAGTTTTGCCTGAATAAGTTCAGCCCTGTTTGAAGAACAGGGCCCATGTCAGTTTTTAAGATCAACTTTGACAGTGAATGGACCCTTTTGCTATACAGACACTTAAACAACGTCACTTTAAGTTGGCTCAGCCATAAATTCCTGCACCTTCCTCAACACCCATTCTCAGTATTAGTCATAAATGTACACACCAGCTCTACTTTGGAAATTGGCTGACATCATGCTACCAATTAAAGGATAAAGTAAATCCTTCATGAGTCATTTAAAATGCACTCAGCAACACTTGGTTTCAATAACAAGCAGCCAGGTACAGGCTAACTCAAACTCTTGGCTAACTCTAGTAGCCAAGAGTGACCCTTCTTCAATTCAAATCAAATCAGAGAAAGGTGGAGGTGGAAAAAGTACTCAAAATCTTTGAGCAAAAGTACCTATACATTAAAAAAAAACTCC